TTCTGAAACAAGTTTAGCTGCTCCGGTTACTGGTGTGTCTGGTAACGGCAATAATCTTCGAAGTGAAAACAAGACCATTGGTAGCACTGGAAGAAACAACAGTAAAACGACTGGCGGCAGCGCGTGGGTGCTGTGAAGGGCGGTCGTGCTTTTTTGCATTTTGCTGGTTGTGTTTTTTGTGTGAACGCTGCTCGGTGTGCGCTGAAGTGTAACGAGTAACGACGCACCCGCCGTGGCTCCTGCTGCTGCTGGTGGTGACCGTCGCTGTGTGTTCCCGGTGCAGTGTTCTTCCATCTCCTGTTCCGTGTGTCTGTGTGCGTGAGTTGTTGTTGTTGGGAGTGACTGCGGCGGGGATGATGATGCCACTCACTGTGGATGGGTGGCGGTGCTTACTCTTTCACCCATATTTTATTAGCCTGTTTTTCTTCATTTCTGTCACTCTCTTACGAAGAAAGCAAACAAGCGCTAAACGCTACCGTGAAGTTCGAAGGCTCTGAAAGGACCAACAACAACAGCACACACACCGCCCACACACACACACATATTTGTATGCACTCACGTGTTGCTGCAGTGAAGGCACCCCGCACACACAACCGTCGCTGCGTGACCGGATCCAGCGGGAGGAGGAGGGAAGGAAGAGAGAGTGAGCCGCCGAGGCCCAACATGTCCCGGCATGTGTTTACTTCCGCGGTGCTGCTTCTCGTCGTGATGATGTGCTGCGGCACTGGTGGAGGTGCACAAGCTGATGAGCCAGCGTCAGGTGCGGAATCTTCACCAAAGCCATATTTTGATTGGAGGGATAAGAATGAAGAAAAAACAGTGAGCTCGCTCCGTGTTCCGAGTCTTGTTGAGTTGGATGGTGATGTGTTTGCCGTTGCCGAGGCGCAGTGCACGAAGGGAGGCAGCGGTTTTACTGGGATTGCCTCGGAGCTCCTGGAGTTGAGTGATGAGTCATCAAAATTGTTGGACATGAGTAAATTGAAGATCCAAGCACCGGATGAATGTCATTTCAAAGATGAGAAATGCACCTATCAAAAACAGGAAGGTGTCGTTTCCCAAAGTGACACGAAAGTACATGTGAGCCGACCAACAACAGTTGTGAATAGAAGAGATATTTACATGCTTGCGGGAAAATACACCAGTGAAAGTCCTGCCGCTGCAGTTGCTGCTGCCAATGCGACTGATGGGGTTCAATGGGGACTCTTGCTGGTGAGAGGGAATGTCAGTGTTGAGGAAGGAAAGGACAAAAGAATTTATTGGAGAGATACCTACGGTCTACCGTGGGGTCTTTTTGGCAAACAGGACTCCTTGACAGGACTGATTGGCAGCGGTGGATCGGGCGTTAATATAAATGACGGTACGCTTGTGTTCCCTGTGGAAGGGACGAAGAGGAATAATGGGAAGACCGTTTCGCTGATCATATACTCCTCAGACATTGCGAGTTGGACGCTGTCGAAGGGGATGTCTGCCGATGGCTGCAGTGATCCCTCCGTCGTGGAGTGGAAGGACAAAAAACTCATGATGATGACTGCGTGTGATGATGGCCGCCGCAGGGTGTACGAGTCCGCTGACAAGGGGGAATCGTGGACGGAGGCACTCGGGACACTCTCGCGCGTGTGGGGCAACAAACACAAGGGAACTGCGAAGGGCGTTACAAGCGGGTTCATCACAGCGACGATTGACGGTGTCGATAATAACAGGGATGTGATGCTCGTCACTCTGCCGGTCTACTCCAAAAAAGAGAAAAATGGAAACAACAATGGAAAGAGTGTACTCCATCTTTGGGTTACGGACAATGCGCACATTGTTGATATTGGGCCGGTATCCGATGATGAGGACGCTGCCGCCAGCTCCCTGTTGTACAAAAGTGGGAATAATAATAATAAGTTGATTGCACTGTACGAGAAGAAGAAGGACGGTGAGAAAGAAACATCACCCGGTATGGTCTCTGTGCTTCTGACTGCGCAGCTGAAGCGGGTGAAGGAGGTGCTGACGACATGGAATGAAGTGGACAAACGTGTCTCCAAGCTTTGCCCCACTTCAAGTGCTACGGAGGACACCTCATCTGGCACTGCCTGCGGCGCTGTTAAGATCACGGATGGGCTGGTTGGCTTTTTGTCCGGCGACTTCTCTGATGGCACATGGAGGGACGAGTACCTCGGCGTGAACGCCACAGTAAAGAGCGGTGCAGCAGCGGCCACAGGGCCTGTCGATGGCGTGACGTTCACGGGGCGTGGTGCAGGGGCGGTGTGGCTTGTTGGCGACATGGGGCAGACTGTGCCGTACTACTTTGCGAACTACAAATTCACTCTTGTGGCGACGGTGTCCATCCACGGTTTGCCAAAGGACGGAGATAACTCCATTCCATTGATGGGTGCGAAGGTGAATGATGGCGATAAGAATACTGTACTCCTGGGACTGTCGTACAACAGAGAAAAGAGGTGGGAATTGTTGCACGGTGGCGGAAAGACGTCGGAGCACAGCAGGACTTGGGAGAAAGATACAACGTACCAAGTGGCCATTGTGCTACAGAATGGCATCCAGGGCTCCGTTTACGTCGATGGTCAGCGTGTGTGTGAGAGTGTGCAAAGTAACTGGGAAAATACAGAATCGAAAGGGATCTCTCACTTCTACATTGGAGGGGATGGAGGCAATGCAGAGAACACAGGGGGTGACGAAGGTGTATCTGTGAGTGTGACGAACGTCCTGCTGTACAACCGCCCCTTGAGCTCCGAAGAGATTGCAGGGCTTGCCAAAAATAAAATTAATATTCCAAAGCCAGTGGCTGCGCGTACTTCTTCACCTGCTGTGTCTCGCCCGAAGCGCTCTTCTGAATCCTTGGCGGGAGGAGCAACGGGTGTCGGTACCGCTCGTCACTTTGCGGCAAATGGTGATGGCAGCACTGTTTGCGGAAGCGGACTGCTGCCGCTGCTCCTTCTGTTGGGACTGTGGGGATTTGCGGCTCTGTGAGGAGTGACTGGCTGCCGCGTGGGACACTTGCGCCCTCCCCACCACAGAATTACTTTCCCATGGGAACGAATTTCTTTCATAAATCCTTTTTTTTGTGTGTATTTTAAATTTATTTGCTGTTTGCTACTTTCTTGTTTTTTTTTTTGCGTGTTTTTTTTTACTTTTTTTTTATCTCTCACTCCCCCATCCCTTTTCTCTTTTTTTGCTTTTGGGGGCAATCACTATGGACGTTTTTTCTTTTTTTTATTCTTCCCTCCTTTTAATTGTTTCTTCTGCACTCTTCCTGTGAGGGGTGCCGTGTGTTTCCCGCCCAACTGCTCCACTCGCACACCCACCGACACGCTCATGACGACGGCCCTGTGCACCTCGCCTGCTGCACGCATGAGGAGGGGCCGCGACGAACGGCGCGCTGAGGGAGCCGTGACGTGTGGGCGTGCGACGAGGGCCTGTGGGGCGGAGCACACATTTCTTTCCCTCTTGTTTTGTTTTCTTTTTTGCGGCCAGGGCGGGCAGACACCCGCAGCGCCACACACACACACAGCCACACCCTGCCGCCGTGTTTTTCTTTTCTTTTTTGTTTTTGTGTTCATTTCACGCGCTGGCAGTCCCGTCAGCATTTCTTTTCCCTCTGATGATTTTTTTCTTTTGCTGCGCTCACTCTCCCGATGGAGTGACGCGACTCCCGTCATTTCTGCGTGCTTCTCTCAGTCCCCCCACACACACGAGTGACTGTGCTCTGCGGGCCGCACTCACGCGCCGATGAGAGGGCTGAGGGGAGCAGCAACACGCAGATGACCCCATGAAATATAAACGATGTGCGGACACATGGAGGGTCAGACGGTTGAAAGACATTTAAATATCTTTTAAAATTTTCTTTTGCCCGCAAAATATATACAGACAGTTTGGTGTGGCCACACGGCAGCCAGGCGACTTCTTTCCTTATTTTTAAATTTGTGTGGAACAGTAATGGACGATTTCTTTTTTATTTATAATTATTTTGTGTGATGGGGTTTATATAAGACGAAGGGGACGTCTTTTTTTTTTGTTTGTTTTGGATAAATTTTGTGTGGATTGCCACTGCTTGGAATGCAGTGCAGTCATGAGTTTGAGCGGTCTTCTTCTTGTTGTTTCCGCCATGCGTCTCTGCTGCACATTTTGTGCGTCTCTCCACACACTCTGCTTTCTTTTTTTTGCTTCTTCGCTTTGTGTTTCTGCAGGCACACACAACCACACACACAAGATGCACATTGTAGTGGATTTGAGTGCTTCTTTTGCAGTGCAAGCTGGCAGTTGCGTGTGGCGGCTGTTGTCTTCTTCCGTGGCCATGAGGAGAAGTGAGGAGGAGGGAGCGCGCAGCCCGAGTCTCCTTTCCTGCGGGTGTGGTGCACCGCGTGTGGCTGCGTTGAGTTGGGCTCCGTGTCCCACTGAGGGCGGGATGGCTGGAAATTTTGTTGCCGCGTCATGGATGGATGAGGGTCCACTGGAGCGTGTGGCTGGTGTGGTGGGTGCTTGCTCCGTGTGCGTTGTGTGGTGGCCGCGGGGTTTTGGCCATTTCCCTGGGGCTGTAGAGATGAGCTGGGGGGAGATGGTGGTGGATGTGTTGTCCTCCTGCATGGTGGGTGGCTGCTGGCGTTGTGTGCCTTCCTTGCGTGGATGCCGTCTCGTGGTGTGTGAACTGTGCGGCTGGGCCTGCTTCCCTCTCCTCATGTTGTCTGCTCTCTCTCTCGCTGCATCCGTTGCACTCCGTTCCTCTCCCTCCTGTTGCATTCTTTTCCTTCTGACTCCAGCAACTCCACTACGGGTGAAGATGGTGTGCGCCGTGCAGGTCCTTGCGCTCCGTGTGGTGCGCGCCGTGTTGGTCCCTGCGCTCTTGTGCTGCTGCTGGGAGTTCTGGAGATGTATCTGGTGATGCGGATGCGGTGGTTGTGCCGGTGGATGTCTCGTGTGCTTCGAGTGACGGCAGCCTGAGCTATCGTGTGTGTGTGGGCGTGGAAGAAGTGTTCTGCAGCGAGTGCTGAGGCTCAGCATGAGAATTATACTTTCAGTGGCTTTGGTGTGCGCATGCATGGCAGAGATGGTGAGCTGGGTGCTGTGTGCCATGTGGCCAATGCGGTGCACACATGTAGCAACTGTGCTGCCAGCTGTGCAGCGAAAGAGGAAGGGGCCACCGTTGCCTTCACGATGAATGTGACGACACATAAATACGCCGGCCCTTATGAATTGTGGCGGCGTCAATTTCCTCCCGATGGAACCATCCATCCGCCTGCACGGAGCGGCGATGCTGACCGGACGGGCATCTGTCAGTTGCCGCCACCCCGTGAAGGGAAGGATGACACAAAATCTGGTGGGACAACTGCGCCGCAAGTTAATGCTGAGCCGTCACACCAAAACGAGGATTGGCGACATTCTGCCGCGGCTGACGGACCCAACACCGTCGATCCGAGTCCCGCATCCAACACGGCGACCAACACGTCCGAGACGAAGCCTGAGTTTGCCTTTGTTCGGAACACAAAAGTGGCTCCGATACCACCCGAAAGAAGGCCCACGCCTGTCACCGAGCCGCAGGGGGATCCCATTGATGATGCGATGAGTGGTTCAATAAGCGTTGAGTTGCCGCGTGGAGTTGTTCTGTTTTTACCGCAGACGACGCTGGTGCAGCCGAAGGATGGGATTGTTCCAGTTACGACGAGGGATTCGTTTGCTTCACCCTCTCTCTTCAGTGCTGGTGGAGTAATTGCTGCTTTCGCTGAGGGTCACATGGATGCCGGATATCAAGGTGGTCAATTAAGTGAGCCCTTTTCTTCTGATGTGGTTGCGGGGTGCATCGACTCTGCGTGGAATTGGTCCACTGTTGTTGGTGAGGTCAATGAACGGCAGTCGGAGTCTTTTTTGGCTTCCCCACCTTGTGCAGGCGTCGGGGGCCATACCAGAGGTCGAGTTGCGGCC